TAAAAAAATCATCTCACGATTATTGTGGAGGAAATTATCGCGATATTCGATAATATCGCGATAAATGCAATAAAAACAACGACAAGTAAAACAACAAATTAAAGTAATATGAAGGCTTTTTCTTGTCTAATATTTACTGTTCATAAACCTGAACTGTCTATGCAGTGTCTACTGTGTCTCCGCAGGCACAAATGCCGTGGGCATATACAGGCGCAAGCATAGCAGCAATTTGTCAATTTCATTGTTCATCGGATTAATTACATAAATATTAGCTTTTATACCGTATTAAATTCGTATTTAATTCAGGAAATAGTTTTAATTCTTTTAAAAACTATATTTTCGAGAAATTGAAGGAATTTTTTAGGATTTTATAACAGCTATATACACAAGCGAAGCAATATCACGATAGTCAACGAGCATGACAATAATTTCGATATATCGTTGCTCAAGTTTCTACCTTCGATACGATAATCGCGTTTGAATATATCGCGATAAATCAAAATATCGAAATATCGCCCAACCCTAATCTCACATTACCCCCAAATTAAGTGTAGTTTGCTGAGCTTCAGTTCATCCATATTCAAATAAGTCCCACTTTGTAATGAGGTTAAGGCAATATCCTAGCTTATTTCGACCTTAAGTGTTTGTTTTAAAGTTGGGAAAGTTTTTAAAAATCACAAGGTTTGTTCCGAAATTCAAATTTTGTTGAAAACCAGAATGTAGTTGGCAGAATGAGAAAAAAAACATGGAAAAACACAACCCTCCTATAAGTCAGTACTATACAGAACTGCCTTGTTCCTCAACAAATCCATTTTATTTGTGTCCAGGAATAATCAAACTCATTTATTAAGAGTGTGCTGGGATAAATAAGACAGGACTATTGAACAACAAGGCAGTTCTAACAGTGCTAATTTTAAAAGAATTGTATACTTCAATGGGCCAATTGCGGAATTGCTAAGCATCATGGTAGTTTAGTTACACAGCAGAATTTTTCAACATGGCGCTTACACTTTTCGAACGAGGGAAGGTGCTAAACACACGAGAATTGCAAGAAAACTTTCATCATTTTCGCTTTGATTAAAGTTTTGACGAAATCTGTA